TATAGTTTCGGAGTTTGACTGAAGTAGGTTTTGATATCGCGCCCCCGCTACTCCCCTTTCCTTTGACAGGGTTTCTGTGAGTTTTGGCTCCTGGCACCTCTTATTATTTATTTTTCTTTCCCACCGTACAAATATTTGGATGTAAAGCGAGACGACGGCGAGTCCTCTGGGCCTGCCCCAGCGTTTCCTCCCAGGAGTTGCTGGTTTTAGACCCCCCCACCCCCCGCCTTTTCTCCCTGCCGACAAGTCATGTGGCAGACAGATTACATGCGTTGTTTTCTGTGGTGGTTCGTCCTGGGAGGGCCCTTTTTATTATGATGTTGCTTTTTGATTGTGTTCAATATGGCTGTGCTCTCTCCAAGCATCACACACCGGCCGTGTCTTTATAATCAAACACCGGCGAAGCTACATAATCATGGGGGGCGGCACATAATAACATGCCCACCACCCCCCTTGGCAATCAAACATTGATGTTGCATAATTTTCTTTTTCTTTACTACACATGATGCAGTGAGTCAACTCGCTAGTGAACTTGCCTTGCTCCCTTCTGAGCTTAATTGGTGCGGTCGGGTCAGCTGAAATTTGGGCTGCAATAAAAAACCGGCGCCTCGACTGGAACTGATCAACCCCGCAGAATCTTGCGATTGCACACAATCAATCTCATTTGGAATTGATTATGCTTCACTCTGACCACGTTCTCGGAACGTTGCGTAAGATAACCGCTCCCGCTCCTTTGTACGGATGTTATGTCGCGCGAGCACAGTGGGCACATTTAGAAACGGGAGATGGCGAGGCGCCTCTGCTGAGCAACAAATTCACAGATAAATCGCGGGTTGTTTAAGGGCCGGATAGTCGACTGTCCTCCCGGTAGGGTCATCTCACTCCGTATGACTAGCATGGAAACAGGAGCTCAGAACATTCAGAGAGAGCTTCCCCCAACTTATTAAAATCCAATTTATAAATTCGACGTCTTTTTTTGTTTTTTTCCCCGCATATAGTTAATCGGGGAACTTTACGTCGGGTTCCCTGAAATTCCATTTGCAAGGCTTTCAGTCGTATGCTAGTCTCTGTAAAAAAATCAATCAACCTGTCAGTGTTGCACTTTCCGAAAAAGAAAAGATTTCAGCTGTGTCTGATGCAAAGCAAATCGGGGAGGGGGGAGGGGCTAGTCAGTCTTGTACGCGTAGTCCACTTGCTTACGTTTCTCCTGTGCAGACAGTCTGGCTCCCTCGTCATTGAGACGTGCCTCACTCGGACGTGGGAGCCCCTCTCGTGTCGCTCTCAAACATACAGTGACCCGCCGTTAACTGCCATGTCAAGGAGAGACGACGAGGCACCCAATCATCTCTCAACCCTGGCGGGACGGGGGTGCGGCCAATCGCTGCCTCAATCCCCATGGTAACTTGGGCGACCAATAGGAATAACTTGAATCACTTAAGCCGTTAAGAGCGCTTTAACAACCTGATATCCGTTGTCATCATTCAAAGAAAGAAA